CCTCCCAGAACCCATTCCACATTGGGAGTGAGAGCATGACGGGTGCTCACAGGCCGTTCTGGGTTACTCCTGTCGTCCTGTGCTCCTCTTCACTCCCTCCAGCTCATTCCCCACGTGCAGATGAAGAAGAAGCAACAAAGAGCATCTAGCACATTGAATGCCTGGTAAAAAGGCATCCTCTTCCTCATCGACATGGATGGAGCATTCATGCCATGCCCACAGAAATGAAAGGCAAATAGCCTGACTCGGAATCAATGCTTAGTTCTTCCCTGGCTCTGTGACTGCATAGATGTATGGTCTCATATGGAGAAGTCTGTATCCCTATGGATGCCCCACCCATTTCATGCATCTAATAAGAATATGAAATGTGCAGAGGTAAGTGAGAGTGCTTCTTATGCTCTAAACCTGTGAACCACCACATGGATGTGTTACCGTGTGGTGTAAAGAATGACAAAAAATATTAGATATACTGGTTTTGCTGTTTTTAACAACTGAAGGTGCTACTATTAATTGTCTTCATGGTAAGAATAATGAGCAACTTGATCTTTCCTCTTTGAGAAGAATACTTAATTATAGATAAGAATAGGTAGAAGTGACCTAACTTCAAAAATATTTCCAAAATCGGCAATTCATGGTCAAGATGAACTTAGCACTTAAGTTACGTGACCTATTAGTAATAACTTTCTAGGTTGTGCTATACTAAAATTTATGTTTTTCTCTGATAGTTATGTATTATTCTATAACAAAACACTTTTATTTTTCTGTTTGTAAAAGTAATACATACTCAGATTCAGATGATACAAAAATGTCATAAATTCGCAAGAGAAAATCATTCATAAATGTCTTCTCTTTAGCTACTTCAAAAAATATTTTAAAATAAGTAAAACTTCTAAGTTAATATAAAGAAGTTTTATGAACAAACATTACCTGTGGGGATTTTAATCTCTCATACGTGTGGTTATGTCAAAAGAGTATGATCATATTGCATAAAGCGTACATTTTTGTTTATGATACATTTCCAACTTATCAGCTATTAGTTCTTGCAGGGAAAATGTCTTGCCAATGTGTACTTGAGAAGACCATCCTTTTCAGTTGAACAACAAGAACCAAAATGTTAATCAAATATGTTCAGTGACTTTACAATTTGCAGAGCAACTAAGAAATATAGAAATTGGGCTGGGGGAGGGGTGGCTCACACCTGTAATCCCAGCACTTTGGGAGGCCAAGGCGGGTGGATCACCTGAGGTCAGGAGTTCAAGACTAGCCTGGCAAACATGGAGAAACCCTGTCTCTACTAAAAATACAAAAATTAGCCAGGCACGGTGGCACATGCCTGTAATCCCTATTACTCGGGAGGTTGAGGCAGGAGAATCACTTGAACTCGGGAGGCGGAGGCTGCATTGAGCTGAGATCTTGCCATTGCATTCCAGCTGGGGCAACAAGAGTGAAACTCCGTCTCAAAAAAGGCCGGATGGGGTGACTCATGCCTGTAACCCCAGCACTTTGGGAGGCTGAAGCAGGCAGATCACGAGGTGAAGAGATTTAGACCATCCTGGCCAACATGGTGAAATCCCATCTCTACTAAAAATACAAAAATTAGCTGGGCATGGTGGCACGTGCCTGTAGTCCCAGCTACTCGGGAGGCTAAGGAAGGAGAATCGCTTGAGCCTGGGAGGTGGAGGTTGCAGTGAGCCAAGATCGTGCCACTTCACTCCGGCCTGGGCAACAGAGTGAGACTCCATCTCAAAAAAAAAAAAAAAAAGAAAAATACGGAAATTGTTAGCAATGGGAATGATGTGAGGAACTCAGTATTTTTAAGCTGTTAGATGGTAGGGGGCGAGAGATAAAACCTTCACGGCATACGCTTACCTTGTAGGTCATTAATAAATACAGACAATACTATGGCTCTGACTTTACACAGCAACAGTTCATCTACATTGCCACAAGGAAGTAGCCAGGGATATTACTAATTTTAAATACCAGCCTGTCAGCAAGAATGAAGCTGAAATTCAGGGATGTTCCAAGAAAGGGCAGAAACATGCCAGGAGCATTAAGTAAACTTTCAGTCGGAATCTTTGTGAATTACTGGGGAGTCCTGGATTTCGAAATTCTTTTGCAGTTCACACCACCCACGTGTCAGTAAATAGACTGAGGCTAAGGCTATTCCTGTTCTATACTGCCACCTAGTGGATGATGATACCCGCGTTCCTTCGTGCATTTGCTTCAGAGAGACTTGCCCTAGTTAGCAAACCAGCTGATGAATATTATTTGAGACACAAATGAACTAACCTTTGAGTTTGTTTCCTTTGGACTTTGAAATGTCTGTTTACTGAAGCGAATGTGGCATTTCATCATCTTCGATCAGCCCGTAGGAAAAAATAAGCAGCATTTATAAATGGCATCTCTTTTCAATAATTAAAAATGCATAAGGGTGGTAATATTCCCACTGAGTAGCCATCAATAATTAAGTTTTAAAATTTCTCTTTTTCTCCTTCTCTGTCTTTCCTATTTACTTTTGAACCTTTAACTACTCTACTGTGTCATTTCAGGCAAAAAAAACAATGTTAGACCCAGGTTTCAGATTCCATTGTTGTAGAAACAACATATTGGCCAGGCGCAGTGACTCACGCCTGTAATCCCAGCACTTTGGGAGGCTGAGGCGGGTGGATCACGAGGTCAGGAGTTCAAGACCAGCCTGGGCAAGATGGTGAAACCCCATCTCTACTAAAAGTACAAAAAAATTAGCTGGGCGTGGTGGCAGGTGCCTGTAATCCCAGCTACTTGGGAAACTGAGGCAGAGAATTGCTTGAACCCAAGAGGCAAGAGTTCATGAGCCGAGACACGGCACCACTGCACTCCCAGCCTGAGCAACAGAGTGAGTCATGTCTCAAACACAAAAACAACAAAAAGGAACAATGATATAGTGAATCTTGATTATCAAATAACAGAGTCATGAGCAGCATCGAAAAAAAAAGGAAAGAATCTATTTTATTTATTAGTTTGAGATCAGTCTTCCTCTGTCCACCCAGGCGGAGTGCAGTGGCCTCAATCTCGGCTCACTGCAAACTCTGCCTTCCTAGTTCAATGGATTATCCTGTCCTCAGCCTCCCGAGTACTGGGGACTACAGGCCACGCACCACCCACACTCGGCTAATTTGTATTTCAGTAGAGAAGGGTTTCAGCATGTTGCCAGGCTGTCCAAACTCTTGACCCAGGTGTCCGCCCCCGCCTCGTCTCCCAAAGTGCTAGGATTACAGTGTGAGTCATTGTGCCTGTCCAAGATCTATTTAAATGTGAAGAGGCCGAGTCATGTATCGTTTTTACCACTTTTTTTTTTTAAGATATAAGAGACTAGACAAAAATTAAAAAAAAAAAGAAAAGATTATACTAGAACTAAAATTCAGAAGGGGCTGGGTATGTGCTCATTGCCTGATCCAGCACTTTGGAGGGCTGCGGCACGGTGGATCTCTTGAAGTCAAGCAGTTTGAGACCACCCTGGCCAACATTGAAACCCTGCCTCTACTAAAAATACAAAAATTAGCTGGGCATGGTAGTGCAATGCTGTAAACCAGCTACCTAGGGAGGTGAGGTGAGGATCACTTGAAACCCACCGGAGGCAATTGCAGGACAACAGATTACACCAACTGGCACTCCATGCCTGCGACAGAAGGAAGACTCTGTCTAAAATAAAGTAAAAAAATAACAATAAAATAAAATAAAATAAAATGTCAGAGTGTCCCAACGGTAGAGAAATGTTGCTCTGTGAAATCTGTTGCACACATGGATTTTGTGTAACTAAGGCATGAGGTAAAGGGCTTTCTTTCTGTAGTCAAGAAAAAAAAGTTCAAAAGCTCTGTTCTATTGTCTAAAAAACTAAGCTAAACCACATTGTATTCAAATAGTTGCCCTTTGTGTATAAACAGGTCCTATATATTCTTTGTTTCCTTTTTTTTTTTTTTTTTTGAGCAGAGTACTGCTCGTCGCCCAAGGCTGGAGTGCAGTGGTGCACTGGGTTTTAAGTGATTGCTCTTGCCCTCAACCTTCCTGAGTACCTGGGACTACAGGTGCCTGCCCCACCACGTCTGGCTAATTTTGTATTTAGGGTTGGCCAGGCTGTTCCCAGAACATCCTGACCTCTGGTGATCCACACGCCTTGGCCTCCAAACAGTGCTGGGATTACAGTGAGCCAACCATGTCCAAGCCAGTTATAAATATCTTTGTTTTTTTTTTTTTGAGACAGAGTTTCGCTCTGTGCTCAGGCTGGAGTTCATGGGCTGATCTTCTGCTCACTGCAACCTCCTGCTCCCCGGTTCAGCATTCTCCTGCCCTCAGGTCCTCCTGAGTAGCTGATTACAGGCATGTGGTCGGTCCATGCCTGGCCTAATTTTTGATTGTTAGTAGAGATGGGGTTCTCCATTGGTCAAGCGGTCTTCGAACTCCCCGCCTCAGGTAGCCACCTGCCCGTGCCTCCCAAAGTGCTGGGATTACAGGCAATGAGCCACCCATGCCCGCCATAGTTTCTTTAAAAAAGGCGTCAAAGATGCCCATGCAGTAAATGGGATGGAATTTGAGGCACCATAAATGGGAAACCCTAATGCTTGCCAGTCCAGTCTATTCTTTTCTCTTTGATGCTGGGGTAACATATGACTGATCTCTGGAAGTTCCATCATGATGACGCCAAGCCATTCAAGCAAGACAATCCTAGTTTTGAATTTCGATGCATAAACTTACTAGCTGAACCTCAGCATCCTAATCTGAAAATGAGAAGCCAATAGGTGATGTGCCCACCACATGGTAGATACTCAACATTAGGTAGGTAGCTATTAGAAACAGCATGAGTTGCCAGGTGCCACGGCTCATGCCTGTAATCTCAGCACTTTGGGAGGCTGAGGTGGGAGAATCACTTGAGCCCAGGAGTTTGACACCAGCCTGCACAACATAGCATAGGGAGACCCTGTCTCTACAAAAAATAAAAATTAGCCGGGCACAGTGGCTCATACCTGTAGTCCAAGCTACTCAGGAGGCTGAGGTGGGACGTCAAGGCTACAGCGACTGATGACTGCACCACTGCACTCTGGCCTGGGCCACAGAGCGAGATCCTGTCTCAAAAAAGAAAAAAAAAAAAAAGAAATAACATAAATCACTAATTCACAGACACCATTTAAATAGCTGCAGGAGCCTTCATTGCCCTAGATTTCTCTATCTTAGAATTGTAAATATCTCTAAACAATTTAAAGCCTACAGCTGAGCCTGAACCCCAACAAGGACTTTTTAGCTTTTTGGGGCACTCTGACAAGACCCTTAACTCTATTCTTTTACTCTGTTTACAGCTGTTATTTATTACCAAACTCAGTGGAACTGCTTTCCTTCCTTGTGTAGCGCCTTATATATTTTACAGAGCACATGGGTCCCTGGTAGTTTTCCTTCTCGAAGCAGGGCACCCTTCTGTCGCCCAAATGTCAGGACGGTGTTCTGCGGGAGTGGGACGGGCCTGGAGAGGAGTGAGGGCCTTCCCTTCCGCGTGGTCTCTCTCCTCCGTCGTCCCACTCTGCTTCCTCCTTCCTCTGCTGACCTGCTGCAGCTTATCCCAGAGGAAGTGGAACTGACAAACCATTGCTAAAAATACCCCCAGCTTGCCTCCTCAAGGGGGTGTCCCGTGAGGAAATGAGAAAATGAACGAGCAGTCTATAAGACCAACAAGGGCTACACAAACACCAGAGGCGGTTTTTATGTTATGGATCCACTCCCAGTAATGTTAGGGGCAGGGACTTGGTGAGGCAGCCGTGGCCTGCCCCTTACTAGCTGTGTGACCTCAGGCAAATCATCAAACCTTTTGAAGCCTGGGTTAATTCCTTTGTAAACTGGAAAATAATACCTACCATTCTCAGGGTTCTTTAAGAATCAAAGCACACAGGCAAGGTAGTGGAGACCTTAAAAACATCCTAGCCATTATAAGTGATCCATAAATACCAATGGTTGAGTTAAAAAATTTTTTTAAATTATTTTATTTACTTTTTTTAGAGAAGGTCTTGCTCTGTCCTCAGGCTAGAGTGCTGTGGTGTGATCATAGTTCACTACAGCCTCGACCTCCTGCCTCAAGCCATCCTCCTGCCTCAGCCTCACAAAGCACTAGGATTATAGGCACAAGTCACCATGCTGGTCCCAATGGTTGTTATAATCATATCTCCTCAGATTTGCTGCCTTTGAAGGACCAGAAAAGTGTTGCTCGAGTTCAAGTTAAAAAGTTGAAGTTGGCCGGGTGTGGTGGCTCACGCCTGTAATCCCGGCACTTTGGGAGGCTGAGGTGGGTAGATCTCCCGAGGTCAGGAGTTTGGGACCAGCCTGGCTAACATGGTGAAACCCTGTCTCTACTAAAAATACAAAAATTAGCCAGGTATGGTGGCACACACCTGTAATCTCAGCTATGTGGGAGGCTGAATCAGGATAATAGCTTGAACCTGGGAGGCGGAGGTTGCAGTGAGCTGAGATAGTGCCACCATACTCCAACCTGGGCAACAAGAACAGAACTCCATCTCAAAAAGAAACAAAACAAAACAAAACAAGTTCAAGTTTCCCTTAAGCTATAGTTAAAATGTTATGCCCTTTAAGACTCGTGAGTTGTGGGGAAAACGGAGGAAAGGCAAGAAATGTGGGGCAGGGGAGCCTTCTTGGTGCAGACTCTCATATCACATCGCGTCAACTGCAGTGACACTGCACCGTATCGGGTGAATTTCCAAACTTGCAATTTGGCTTCAGAGTGGCCAGTGTCACGATGAGCTCCATGATGGTCTAGTATTCCATTTTCAGTGAACAGTGTTTTCAAACCACAAAGGTTGCTTATCACTTTGTAAGTCTCGCTGTAATACTGTCTGCTTATCTGCTGGAAATCGCCGTCTCCCTTAGTTTATGTCCTTCTGAGTCATAGAAGGCAGGCAGACCTCAGGTGCAAAAGGCACTGATGGTGAAGGTGTGGGAGGAGGAGGAACATAAGAGACTGAAGGAGAAAGGCAAGGCGTGGGAGAGACAGTGGAGTGCTGGAAGAGGAACTTACTGATTGTGTTTTTAGGGGAAATGTTTCATCAAAGGCTGCTGTGCCTACCACTCCTAATGGAGGAGATGATTTTAGGTGGTAAACAGTTGAACATATGAAATTTCAGGCCAAAAAATGAAAAAAGATAAAAATAAAATAAATTTAAAAAAGAAATAAAATGCCAGGTCATGCATGGTGGCTCACACCTGTAATCCCAGCACTTTGAGAGGCTGCGGCAGGTGGATCGCTTGAGTTCAGGAGTTTGAGACCAGTCTGGGCAACGCGGCAAAACCGTGAGAACAGATTGGGGTTGGGCCCGGTTTCTGACAATCGTTCCGGATTCGAAGGCTTGTGAGGCGAGGGTCCTTAGGAGTAACCTTGTCTACTAAACGAGCTCTTTGCCCAGGTAAGCAAATCACCTGCCCAAATACATTGATTTGCAGGAATTTTCTGAAGCAAATTGCCAAGTTACATATTGGCTTACACTCTTATTTTCCTGGGCAAGTGTTTCCTGGAACAAAAAGTTGTATCATATTGATATAGATGGACTCAGTTCTCATAATTATTTGTTTAGTTAATGTGTGTTTGAAAATATATAACTAGGCCAGGTGAGGTGGCTCACACCTGTAATCCTAGCACTTTGGGAGGCCAAGGTGGGCAGATCACCTGAGGTCTGGAGTTCCAAGATCAGCCTGGCCAACATGGTGAAACCCTGTGTCTACCAAAAATACAAAAATTAGCCATGTGTACTGGTGCATGCCTATAATCCGAGCCACCATGGAGGCTGGAGACAAAGAATTACTTGAACCCAGGAGGCGGAGGTTGCGGTGACGCTGAGATGTGTGCCACTGCACTCCAGCCTGGGTGACAGAGTGAGACTCTGAAAAAAAAAAAAGAAAAAAGAAAATATATAACTAGTGACATTTTGAGGTGGATGATTCAAATAAAATAAAAAAAAAACAAAAAATAAGAAAAAAAGTAAATATATAACTAGCACATCCAACCACTGATCTTGAACGTAATATTATTTAGGACAACACTGAAGAATATTGGGTTTAAAGTTAAACACTAAGTTGATTTAAAGAAAAATACATTAAATAATTAATAGTACGGATGATACTTATTTATCTATGACAAAATCTATTCATCTAGGACAACCATCGTGACCACTGTAAATGAAAGACTGAAATGTGAAAAGCACTGCTCAACACTCAAAATATCCCGGTCGGGTGTAGGCTAGAGGACAGCCCTAGCACAGGGGCAGGCATGTAACTCACAGGTGAATCATCAGAAGGAACCAGGGGAAGAGAGTGGGGTTGCAGAGGGGGTCACCTGATCTGGGAGGGACATGAACACCCACTGGGTTTGGTGTCGTTTCTGTTGTGCAAATGAACTGAGAATTAGAAAAGTCCCCGGGCTGGAAACAGAGTTTGTAGTGGACCTACTTGGGTCTAAAGCTTTCAAATAGGAAGTAACAGCTGGGTTGGAAGATCCCATGCAAGGCAGTTGGGTTCCCCAAGAGAGGCACCTGCCATCGCGGTCACCAGGCCCCACTGAGAACAGGCCAGGTGCCAACTGAACAGCACAGTGAAGAGGGGCTGAGATTCATTTAAGGTCAAGCCAGCCTATATGGCTTGGCGAGGAATATTTTGGACAAACTGAGAAGGACAGAAGGCAAAGGCAAGGGCAGCTTCTGGTTTTCTAGGAGTCTGAGCCAAAGAAACTTCTAGGGTGGAACCAGTATAGGGAAAAGGTAACATTCAAATCAATGCAGGCCAACGTTAGCTTGAATCCAAGAAGAGGAACCTTTGGGACCAGACAGGGCACGGCCTTTCTTCGGTAGAAACACCAGCAACCAGGGCAGAATCCTGAGCGTCTGCTGTTCTCAGGCAGCTGCTGAGACCAAATAAAGCTTGGTCCTGGGTCAGGGGTTGATGTAGTAAAAAGGAAGCAAGCACAGACGTGGGTTCTGAAAGTTGCTGAGAATCTCGCTACTGGGAATCACCCGGGGACCTAAACCTTAGATAGCTTTACCAGCATTCTACTCAAGCCAAACCGGGTGGGGTCCATCCTAGAGTAAAACCTAGAGAATCCAGAAAGAAGACATTCTAAAAGTAACCCTAGGCCAGGCGCCATGGCTTATGCTCATAATCCCAACACTTACGGAGGCTGAGGCAGGAGGGTTGCTGGAGCCCAGGAATTCAAGGCTGCAGTGAGCCAGTGAGCTTGGGCGATAGAGCGATACCTTGTCTCAAAAAGAAAAAGTAATCCTAGCCCTAGTCCCTTTTCTTCAAGACAAGGACAAAATATTGTTGATATTCTACAAATCCACGATTTCTAGTGATTCTTGTAACAGCTGCAGTGTTACTCACTGCCTTGTTAACTCCTTGGTAGCTTCCCCGACCAGTGTTGCGCGTTGCATTGCGGCTGGAAGTGGCTCCATGGTCAGACTGTTTAGGTACACGTGAAATGAATGTTCCATCATTCAGAACTCAGAGCACCTCACACCAGTCACTTGCCCTCTCTGAGGTTGAGATTTTTGCCTTTGTACCTACTTTGTGGACGTACTGTGAAGTGGGAGTGACAGAATTTATGTAGAATGCTCAGCACATGGCGAGCACTTCATAAATATTAGCTGTTAGCTCTTAATTAATTTAAATCTTTTTTTTTTCTTTCTAGCTCTAATTTTTATGAAGCCTTAAGGGAATTTTTGATTTGGGATTTTTGCTTCCCCTGGACCTGGAGGAAGAGAAAGGAAGGCCAATGAGTGAGCGATGACAGTGCAGCGGCACCTGGGCAAAGCTCCGTGGCCTTTGGGAAAAGAGGCTACTCGGCTCAGGTGATTAAGTACATGTGTGACCTTAATTCCTCTGTCAAAACAACAACAACAAAATCCCCAAACTATGAAAAGCCACAGACTTCTAGGAATAGAAGACAAAAGGAGGAAGGAGGGGGAGGAGGAAGATACCAAGGGGAAAATGATGGGAAAAGCTGATTTTGTAGCCCTGAGCAT